GGCGGAGGCCTGACGGGCCTCGCCCCGCCCCGCAGCATCGAGAAGGTGTCCAAGATCACGTCACCGGTGCTCATCATCCACGGCACGGAGGACGAGGTGATCGACTTCTCGCACGGGCTGGCGCTCTACGAGCGCTGTCCCAAGGCCGTGGAGCCGCTGTGGGTAGAAGGCGCCGGGCACAACGACATCGAGCTCTACAGCCAGTACCTGGAGCGCCTGCGACGCTTCATCTCCCAGGAGCTGCCCAGCCAGCGCGCCTAGCGGAGCGGCAATGCCCTGAGCCGTGTCGGGAGGACCTCAGCAATAAAGCGGCCCCCGGACTCGCCTCGCGCCGGCCCTGGGGGCTGCATGTGAAGCCCCGGGCGCCCCGGCCGCCCCGGGGCCCCCGAGGCAGCTGCGGGCCAGGGGCCGGAACTGGCTCGGCCCACGGGCTGTGGACGACGTGCTAGTGACAGAGCCACGCTCTCCTTTCCTTTTGGAAGCAAAACGAAGGAAAAACGTGAAAACAAATTAAAGATTTAAAATTTTAGGGTTCCTCTCCTTGTTTTCATTGCTCAGCGACTTCGTAGAGGATGCTGGGCTTGCCCCAGCCCACCGGGGGAAGTTCGGCACAAATGCAAATGTCACCACATTCTTCCTGCAGGAGAGGGATGGGGCTCAGGACCAAGCCGGAGCGCCCCTTGAGGCTGCTTGTTGCCTGGGAGCTGACGGACGGGCGCGCAGCATTTGAACCCAGAACCCTGCCTGCCTAGATTGGTCGCGCCTCGTGGGAGGGTGGGCTCCTGGCTGATTTTTCCCCCTTGTCTCTTCAAGACAGCCCTGGGAGAGGGAAGATGACCGCAGCGCGTCTCTTCTCGGCTCTGGGGCCCCAGCGAGGCACTTTTCCCTTCCATGATAAGGACGCTGCACAGTCATTCCCACGGTAGATAAGCACGCAGCGCAATCTCAGGGCTGCCCTTCCTTTCCCGCCTGTCCTTTCGCACACCCCCTGCACAGAGGGCCAAGACAAGTTGCCGGGGTCCCGGGGGATGGGCCAGGTCTCTTTGCAAATGGGGAGGCTGAGGTCTGGGGAAGGGCAGTGGCAGGTCCGAAAGGCCCTGTGGACTCTCCCCAGGAAAGGGGGCCATCCTGAGGCTGGGCTCCTGCAACACGCCTCGGGGCCTTTGCGCTGTGTTTGCCCGGGTGCCCTTGAGGACGGGTGTCTCTGGACCCCAGCTGGAGGCCGGGCTCAGCACCAAGCCGTGTTCCCTGCAACCTCCAGGGCCAGAGCGCTAGAGCGAGGAAGACCTCGGAGACGGGTAGCCCGTCGTCCACCCCGGGGTCGGGCGGCGGCTCAGCCTGTGTCAAGGGGCCGGGCGGTGGCGGGGCGAGGACGCGAAGCCGCTTGCTTCCAGCTGGCCCTAGTCCGCGGCGGGTGATGCCCGGCCCCTTTAAGAGGCGGTGCTTCAGCCTGGGGGCGGGGACGACGCCCTGTCGGCTCGGCCGCCGGGAGCACGTCACGTGCGCGAGCGTGGCGGGAGCGGAAGTAGCGTGGCGCGCGCACGGAAACGGCGGCGGCGGCGGCGGCGGACCGCGGGGGGGGGGCGCCCCGGG